CTTTTTTTGTTGGCCCCCAAGGGGGCAAAAAAAAAAAAAAACAACAGTTAATGCTGACTTAAGTGTGTATGTGTTTGTAAAATTTGATTCTTATAGGCTCTAGTTACTTTATAAGCTTTAGTTACTTTTCATACCTTTATTTTCCATGCTTATACATATTAAAACTGTATTGATGACTGCTGTATTCTACTGAGTGAAACTTTGGAACTGTATACTGCAAATTCTGTAGAGACAGAATGTCTATATCTCCCGGTAACCAGACGGCCTTTTTTACATTTTAACAAAGACCTGTTGGCCTGTTTTGCACCTTCACCTAGACCCGCTTAGCATATTCCAAGTTCTACTTTGTCATGGGGAATCCTGCAGAGACAGGGGGCCTACAACCTGACATGACCACCTGGCCCGTTTAGCATACTCACTAGGTCCTGCTTTAGGATCACACACACAGGGGGTCTGCAGCACAGACAACCCATTGTTCAGTGGTCATTGATCAAGTAGCCACCTGAGAATCACACACACACATCTGGTTTCCGCAAGCAGACACAGGCAGGGGTTGACCTGCTCATGCCAAATGGCCAATAGGATTACGAAGTGTGAAATGTTGTAGCTCTGTCCAGGGCAGGCCTAGCCCAAGAAGATGAATGTAATGAGAAAATGTAACTCATGGTTCAGAGAATGGATTTCCTGCGGGCACTCTGTCTCTCTGACTCCAGCGCTGTAAGACTTCACCTGTGCCCAGACTTTGAGTAAACTTCCTGTTGACGCTTTCAATAAAAGAACTTGGGTTAAATCTAACATGTTAATGTTTTCTACAGTAAATTTAGCCTACTAATGAATACACTAATGAAAGTGACTTGTTAAAACAAAATGAATAAAGCATTGTCTAGGCTGATATCCAGACCTGAAGAAAAAGGACTGTTTCACAATCTTGGTCAAGAATAGAAGTAAGTATATGTTTATGTGTTAGTTGACTTATTACACAAAACTTGGGTGGTCAGCAAGACACAGTAGTATTTTCACCACAGGAGCCTTTAAAAATGGAGCCACTCAAAACATATTCCATCATTCCATTTTAATATGGGTGTCACTTGGTGAGTACATGTTCGCTGCACTATCTGATGCCTATCAGTATTTTTTTACCCTCAGTACATGGTAGTAGGTTAGTGGTTCCAACATGAGTGCTCAAAAGCTTTCTAGTAACAGTTTACAATAGGCTACACAAACTTCTAAGTAGCAACTAAAGAATGAGTGAGGAAACAATCAGGAAATCTTTAGGAACCAATACCAGCTGTTTGTACTGAAGGGTATTACTTGCCTTTTTTTTTGGACTAACCTTTGTCAAAATGGCAGAGTGGTCCTTTCCACAGGAAACATGAATAGTTTTCTTCATGCTCAGGAAATGAACAGGTGTTGGTATGTGTCTGTCTATAAAAAACAGGAATGTAAATGGTATTTACAATATAAAGTGAAACAGAAGCATATGCATAGTGTTGCTACAGTACCTGTTTCATCTCCCAGCCCCAGTTGTCCACAGTCGTTTCTGCCCCAGCCAAACACACCTCCAGACACAGAGAGGGCAAAGCTCTGTTCTCCTCCTGCAGCGATCTGAACCAGGGGGATCGCTGACAGAAACTGGAGGTGTCGTGGTGAACTGGTGCTGCACCTCCTGTTTCCCAGACCCAGCTGGCCCCTGGAGTCCAGGCCCCATGTGTACACCTGGCCATCTGTGGGGACATCACCACTACCCTGTGAGCTACAGTGCTCTCTGTAATACTGTAATCTGCATTCTCAAGCACCTTCATGATATTTTGCACTTGGACTCAGTAGTTACAATCCTCAGCACTGGCTGGGGTCTTTTTTTATACTTTCGCAAGGCACTGTATATATTTCCTTTCTTCCACAGTTAAGTACAGGCTTTACCATATATGATTTTTGAAATGCATTCATGACATCCTATGTGCATTTGATTCACTTAATGCTGGATGGTGGAGAGCCAGGAAGAGCCAGGTCTTGACTACAGCACTGGTGCTGTTGTCAAATATGAGATTGCTTTCTTAGGGGAGGAGGGTCAGCATTTTAATTCTAGTTTGTTGCCCATTAGTGTTAAAGCCTACAATAAGCGGCTACTCATGTTGTAGTAATGGGGATCTAATTTAATTCTCCAAATGCTGGTTAACACAAATTACACACAAGAAATAACAATTACGTCACACTGGAAGAAGTCAAACTACAGCGAAGCTACTCTAGAGAGAGATCTAGTTTGGTTCATTAAAGCTACCTAGAAAAAGTAGTTCAAACTACTTTGTAAAAACAATGTACATATGATACTAAACTATAACAAAATATTATACAGAAAGTTCATATGCCTGGGTAAAGTACAAGGAATATCAGGTTTGGTGTGTGTGTACGGTGTCCATAAGTGGCACCTGCTGTCCAGGTGAGGGTAGAGTACCAAGTACTCAGTTAGCCAGGGAACTTCCAAAACACTGCAATAGCTTCTCTGAACATTTGTTCATAAATACCAATACTCAACATTTTGGACTAACTGACATCAAATATACCCATGTTTAGTTTTACAAATTCAGATTCAAAACATTTAAAACGATAGGCAAATATTTTTCACAGGTGAGCTGGCAATCCAGCCTTCTGGAATATCCCTGAGACCTAAGCCTCTCCTAACCCAAACAACCCCATATGTTCACAAAAAAAACAAAACTGCCAGAAATGTAATATGTTTGTTGTAAACAAATAAAAAAAATCATTCCTTTCCTTTTATGCCCCAAAATTGCTTGTACTTTCACCAGTTAACTACACAAAAAATGGAACAACAGACCCGAACACAACACAGGGGTTAAAACAAAAAATATGCAGACACATATCTTCTGTTTTAAGGTGGAAGCAGAGACACACAGTATCATCTCAGACAGAAATGTCTCCACCTGTACAGGTAAGTGGGAAAGCCTGTTTTTCTTATGGTAAATTAAGTTTTAATGGGTTTATTCCTCCTTTCAGCTTGTACATTAGTGGCTGATTTCACCTGATTTTAACTTACTTTTGGTCAAGGCAACTGAATGCTGGCTTCCACAAGCAACCTGAGAGACTGGGATTTTACAGAAAACCTCCAGGGGCCTGGTTGAACAGGAGCAGAACACAACAGAGCCGAAATACTCATCAGAGCTGACATGCATGAAGCCAAGTAAAGATTTCACATCAACAACAGCATGCAATAATAATATTAATAATAATTTCTTTCATTACTAATCCCATTATCCAAACTCTGACATTTTGCACCATTTCACGCAGTTTGATCCAATTGAACAGAACCAGTTTACTCCACCTTGGAGTGGGACTTGTGTGCGCACAGAGGACGGATCCTCTCTCAGTCAGCAGTGTAACCGTGTCATCGGTGCAGCTCACAGCCTCGATCTTCTCTTTATATTTAACAAACTCTGAAAGAACAGCAGGTTGTATCTGTCACATTACTGCCAAAAACAACAACAATAAACAAACACAAGAGCAGGGCTCACTCTGTTTTCCTCGGACTCTTCTACCACCTGCGCTCTCATGCGTGCGAATGATGAACGAGTTTCCATTAGTTTTGACGAAAGCGAGCACATTGTAACCTGTAGACAAATCCCTGACTTGACAATTCAGGTTGAGGTAATGGACTCCATCCTCTGCCGGACTGCTGTTGGAGCCGTCTTTGAGCCAGAAGCCCCGCTGACAGTCCTCTCCCCATGAGAACATGGTGCTAGAATGGCTGTGACGCCAGCTGAGCTCTGATTCAGCTGGAGGGTAGAAGTGAAACTTGGAGGCATGTTTGCTGTGAGTTACGGAAAACGAAACCGACTCATTCTGTTCACAACGAACAGCAGAGTGAGACGAAACGAAACGACGGCGCAACAGAGGCACACTGACGCTGAAAGTCCGGAAAACGAACGTGAAACCGTGGTTGTCAAGAATACCACAATATTTAGACGGTAATAGGTGGTTTTTAAAGAAAGCATTTCTCTATTTATTGGCCTTATCCATTACGTCTTGGTTAAAGGAAAACTGATACTTTTACTAACACGGTGTAGAACTCAAATGACGACATGTAGCAGGTTGTAGTTGTTAGGTAATTTCTTAGTTAGATAGATATTGATTAGAGATCTGTTGTATTAGAAAATGTTAGTGTAGCCAGGATGTCTAGCTCAGGTTGTTAAATGCTCAGTTCATTGTCATGAGTTCTGCAGGCTGCATCTAGGCCAAGGTCACTAGATTGAAGAGTCAGCAGACAGGATGGATATTGTTATTATTATGATATGTTCAGCCGTAATCTTAACCATAATATCTTCCGAGGCTTACTGTTCGGACATGTCCCTGAACGTCCTGTATGTTTTTAGATACACACCACTAATCAACAGCCACACATATTGATTCTCTCCATGTTTTGACTACTGATAAGGCGTTTTTCAGCCCTGCTGCTGCCACAGATGATGGATCAGTTTCTTTATGTCGTCAATGTATTGTATTTAATGTTTTCATTGCCATAAGGATGAAAAGAGAATTTCAAGATAAAAAGACAAAAACCCTTCTGGAAGGAATCGCCATTTCCATTTTTTGTAGCTAACTACTGCAACTACAAATCCATAAAAGGAAAGGACTGGATTCTTCATTAAGCACTGACAAGAACATTTTCTTTTTTTTTTTATTGAAACAAAGTAACACATTAACAAAACAGTACAGAACATGGGAGACAAGACAACAGATACATGACATTACAAAAGGATATAGTGTTTAACGAGGTTGTAGTGTGTGAAGTGTGGGTACTTCCAACTTATGCAGTCTATGAAATGCAAGAAAGGGAAAAGGTAATTACCAATATTAACAATGAAAACAGTACCACTAATAAAATCAGCTAGTTAAATTTTTAGAGGTTGGTGGGAGTGTGTGTGGCCTCAACCCCAGGTGTTTGGTTCAAGTTGAAATGTGTTAGAAATGGTTCCATGTGTCATAAAAAGCTGATAAACTATTCTTGTGAGTTGATGCCATATTTTCTAATGTGATGTATTCTGTCAAAAGGTTGGTCCAGTGGTTTATGTGTAGTGATTTTTTTGATTTACAATTTTGAAGGAGTGGGTTTTTGTATTTAATTGGTAGGTGGTCGACGTCTATGATATTACCGAGTAAGCAAAGTGATGGAGAAGGAGGGATTCTACAGCCCAGGATGGTGGAGAGAGTTTCTCTGTCACTGCTTTCCAGAGGGAATAAACTGGTTGGCAGGTCCAAGTAGCATGAAAATAACTGTCGGTGCAGTCTAGAATGCATTGTGAGCAGATGTCTGTGTCAGTGAAACCCATTTTAAAAACATTTTACTTTCTGTAATATGGGTCCTGTAGATGGTCATGGAAAAGATGTTATTGCAAATTTCTGTCCAGAAGTCAGAGCTGAGGGAGAGAGTTAAATCGTTTTCCCATTTGAGTTTTGGTATTTGTTATTGTTGAGTCTGTATTTGATATGAGTTTATATAGCTTGGATATTATTTTATTGGAGGATGTAACTTTCATAATTTCTTCAATTAATTTGGAGGGTTGTAGTGGGTTATTGATTACACTAATCTTTGATTTAATTATGGATTGTAGTTGATTGTACTGGAGGAACTGTTCTCTCTGGACTCCGTACTTCTGGATCAGTGTATTAAATGATATGAACTGGTTATTGTTAAATAGGTGATGTAAGTGAGTGATTCCTTTGTGTTGCCATGTTTGGAAATATATAGGGTTATTATGTAGTTGGAAATCAGGGTTGTGCCAAGTTGGAGTGTATCTACATGGTGCAAGTGATGATTTAGTGATTTTGTTTATAAAGAGTTTCTTTAAATGTAAACAATATTAAACTACTGAATAATAAATTGGCTGAATTTAATACATACATGTGAGCATAATGGCCATGAGGACCTTGAATGATTTGTTAAAATAAGTATAAAAGGTATGGCATTAATCCAACACTGTCTGCAAGGTTTCAACTTGAACTTGACATGCTTCATGGTCACAATTAGGGATAATGACAGAGATTAACCACAAGGTGGAGGTAGAGACTGGATCTCTGTGGACTCTACAGTGTCCAGACAATACCAAAAGTAAATAAGAAAAAAAAAAAAGAAATTCAAAATAGCATTTTACATTTTTTAAAATTATTATTCAAGACACTTTCAGGTGGCCTTTTACTTTCTCAGATTTGGGAAATTCAAGGAGCAACTGTCATTTTTACTAAATACTTTTACCCTCCATGTAAAAATTGAAGAGTTAACCCTGAATGCACTTGAATGACATAAAAACTCAAGATTAGTGTGCTGTTGTTCCGTCCAGTGGGAGCTATTACTTCCAAAGGTTATTTCCAGGACATCATAATTTCTGCAGCAGGAAACTATAAGACTTATGGGAAATGTAGTAGTATTTTGAAAAATTGCTTGAAAAAAAGATCTTGATTTTAAGGGGACTTCCAGGTAAAATAAAGGCTAAATAAAATAAAATAAAAATGAATAATAATGCCATGGGGAAACAGAGGCTTACCAGATGTTTTGAAATATGTGTACACCAATATGTAAAGCTCATTCGACACTGAATTATGCACCTTTGATATGTAAATCTCTTAAAGATTTTGTAGCTGTTTTCAAAAGTAGCCAGTGACAGAGACAGATAGGGAAGAAAAGAGGAGGGTGTGCAGCACAAAAGGTGGCAGAGAACATGACAATGACTGCATGACACTAAATGTAAAATACTGCCTGTTAACATTTCTCATTGTGTCTGTTGGTCACTTTCTTCTCCCTCTTCTGCTCTGGCACACACCAAAGATGTGTGAAATCACAGGTGAGAAGAGCTGGAAAACATCACCACGAGCAGCTGCTGTGTAGGTATGTCAATGATGTGCACATGATTTTAAAATGTCCTTAATGTGTCTCAGTCTCTCTGGTGCCCGCAGTGCATCACCCCAGCTGCACAAATGACCTTCAAAGTAGACTGTCCTACTTTCACACTGAATAAACACCCACCCCCACACAGGTGATTTGATAGATTTTTATCCGTTGTGAATTATTTTGGCTGATTATGCCTTTTTCTCAGGACTGTGAGGGTGTGCACAGAGGGTGCTTGAATGCCATCTGTTAAACAGTATTTCCTGAATGAGAGGTCAGCCCTTCCCCCTCTCTCAAATACTGAAGAACCTCATGATATGATGTGTCAAAGCTCCATAAGAGTGACCCTTGGAGCAAAGGAGGCAGGTCAGTTTGCAGTCTGATGCAAGTCTGTCTCATCCTGTATCACATAGGACTAAAAGGGATGCGGGTTCTGGTCTGACTGCCCCAGTAGCAGAGCGCAAACAAATAGCTGCCCACACACCTGAGTGGTGTCTGAAATAATCACTTGTTTGACTAACTTGTTCTAAAAATTCAATTACAGGTACAGCTGCATGACTTACAGTGCAAGGCTGTTATAATCCACTTGGCAGCAGGTTTTGAGAGCTGAAATTGTTTTATCACTGTCAGAATTTTATGCCAGTGTATCTCAAAACATAGACTATCACATTCTCCATCCATTGGAGTTCCCTTTTTGTTCTCTTCGTTTTGCTGAAGATGGTAACCATGTTGGACGTGCTCCTCAGATCTCCTATCAAATCCTACATGGATGAACTGTAGAACTGACCCACTGGAGGCTGCTAATTGTCTCAGATAGTGTCACATGGTACTGATGCAAAAAATAAGGTGATTAAAATCACCAATAAGAGAAACAGTAGGATGCTACAAAGTGAACAATGATTTTCTTACTGTGTTTGCAGTTTACTCAGCACTTATCTGCCCTCCTTAACATTAATCTCTCCTGCTGTGGCTGTGCTGTGCTCATGTCAGGATCTGTATCCTCTTGAAGCCTCTTAAGTGAAAGGAATGTGGGCTCTTGAGAAACAAACAGAGAGCACTTCCAGCTCTGTGTGCGCACACACACACATTCAGCTTCAGGGGAGTGGGTTGTGCTGAGCAGTACCAGGACCTAAACATCCACTGTATCACCTCCTTTTCTTTGATTCAACAGATCTCAGAACAGCATGACCACAGAAAGTCTCCTTTCTGTTCTTTCAATCTTTCCCCCAGTTTAACTTCTTTCTGTCCTATTTTGTTGCTGTTTATTTGATCTTTCTTTCTACTTTGAAAAAGATTTCATTACTATTTGTCAGTTCTACTTTTCAGACACAAAATATATTTTCTGAAGTGAATCGACATAAAAGACATGACAATTACGCTGCTAATACAGCAGCTGTAATAACTCACTCATAAAATGACTTCATCAAAACATTATCACCAGTGGTGCTCAGCATTCTGTCCCCTTCCAGTGTTCATGTGCGCACCCTGTCATACACGGTAAATCAGACTAACAATATCTTATTCAGGAGACGAAAGAGAAGCGGCGTTTGATTCTGGTTTATGGACAATCAAACACTGAGACTGGTTCATTTTTAATGTGTTTGTTAACATAGTGTCAAATTCCTGGAAAAGAAGGAAAGATTGTTTTTGTGTTTATTCTGTTTCTCATACAGAACTTGTTTTGTCAGTGGTTTGTGTAATGGCATTGTGTATCGAGACAGGCGACAAATGAAAGGACAAACCAACATGAAGTGTCTCAGGGAGGTGTTGGGCCATCACATTCCACCAGAACTGCTTCAGTGTACCTTGACATTGATTCTCCAAGTCTCTGGGCTCTGCTGGAGGATGAACACCATTCTTCCAACAGATATTCCCTCATATGGTGATGACAGTGGAGACGCTGTTTAACATGTCACTTAAACATCTCCCATAGGTGTTCAACTGGGCTGAGATCTGGTGACTGTGAAGGCCACAGCACATGATTCACATCATTTTCATCAAACCATTCAGTGACTCCTCGTGTCCTGTGGATGGAGACACTGTCGTCCTGGAACAGACCACTCATATATTCTGGTTTTTCCTTTCATTTGTCACCCATCTGAACCTAACTAACGGCTGTGTTTATATTGTCATTATTGTTTATAGCTGTTGGACTTATATCTTTACTTACATTTTTTCTGAATGTCACATTACCAAAAAGACTAATAGTTAGCACACTTTAGAGCATCGACATTTATCACTGAGCAGGCTGATCAAATTAAACCAACTACAGACATATTCTGATTGGCTAAGCTGGAAAACCTATTGATGTTGAAAAATATTGTACAGTACATTACACACTCAGGATGTCCTTGTTTGTGATTTTTTTTTCTCATAACTCTGCAAGAGGCCCAATCCATGTGTTCTCTGTCTGCTGTAACATTTAGATACAGTGTCTGATGTGACCACTGACAGTGGACAACATTACAGTTACACTGACCAGCTATCTGGCTTCAAAGAGCCTTTAGCGGCATGAGGCTGGGACAGGCATGAAACACCACACACATATATATACACACACACACATAGAGAGAAAGAGAGAGCACAGAAAAAGAGAGATGGGAGATACAGACCCTGTCCGACAGCTGAGATATAGCACCAGAGCCCTGAGGAGTTTCAGGGGATTTCCACCAAGGGAATCGAACACATTGCCGGAGTTACACTAACACTTTGGCTAAACTTATGATAAAAGTTCACAAAAGAAATATTGCTGAATCTGTCTTTATCCATCTCTGCCTCCATATGTCTGTCTGTTTTCTTCTCTCCTTCTCTCTCTTCATAAACACTAGTGGTTGTTGGCTGATAGCATTGTACAGCCCTGAGCTGTTGTTTTCATGTAGGTGAGGGTTATGTCCGTCATGTAACTTATTTTCATAAGTTACTGTGAGGTTGAAGGTCATAAAGGTGATACCAATGAGTAAAAAGAGTGAGGATTAACTGAAAAAGAAAGTGATGGTGGACAAGACGGATGAGAGAATGAGCAAAAGCTGAGAGCAGCTGAAGGAAAACACATTAATTTTTATCTGACTTTACTGCTCCTTTTTTTTACTGAGACGCGAGCCAAGGAATGCAATGAGGAATCTGGTGAGAGATAAAGGAGAGGAAAGTTGATGGTACTGTGCACTGCATACTGAATGTGCAGTGGTTTGTGCCTATTAGCGTGTGCATGGTAGGATCAGAAGGCTCAGAATGTTGTGTCATCATCTCTGTCTCTTACAAACCTGCTCTCTAATAATGCTTTTACATTTAAGAAGTGCAGTTTTAGTCCTAAACAGTGTGGGATATACTGTAGTGAAGAAGAAAACCCCTGTGTGTGATTTATGGGATGAAACCTCGGTCAAGGTCATCTATGGCATAGACTCACTGTTTGCACATATTTCATTTCAGCTGTTAGAAGATGGAAGTTAAAGTTAAGCTGCATATTTCAAATGCAGCAGTTGTGTCCTCATGATAATGGAAACATACTGTATGTAATGAGTCTGATATACTGAACATAGTACGTTTTGTGCGTGATGAGACACTGACATTTTAATATGACGTAGCTTTGTAGGAGTAAATTATGAGACTTAGTGAGATTTATAATGTAAATGAGATATTACTGACTAACAGATAAATGGTGACATAATATTAAAAAACAACAAAATGCACAAAAGAATAAATAAATACAACAGACAACCTGTTACTGTATCAAAACAGGCACAATACATTTACACTGAGATCATTTTCAATTATCTCACAACTTTGAGTACAAAATGTTTCACTGACATTTGCTGTTTTACGACTCAAATATTAATACACATCAAAGAACGGACAAAGAAAGTTTAGAGTTCCTTGATCCATCCCAAGAAAGTCTGAAATTAATGTTACATGTTTCCCCCCATGGTAAGAGCTCTGTTCCCATGGTGACATATTACTTACATCTTGACCATAACATCCCGGCCACAGAGCCAGTGTGACCTGGCAGACATATTTTAGAACTCGCAGTGTCTAAACCCGTGCCAAAGCCCAGCAATATTTACACACCACAGAAACAAGAGACGTGAACAATTCAGCTCCAAAAGTGCTGCTAAAAAATATCCAATTCTTCCATTACAAACAAAAAAGTTCAGTTTTTTAAATACAACCACGACGGCAGTTTTGTTTGCAATGTAGGTTTTATGCTGATTAGACAAAACAACAAAGGTGTACATTGCAAACACTGCATAGGATATCAGATGCAAACTGTTCACTAATTTGATCTTTTCACATTAAAGCCAGTGTTACGTTTGTAGGTATAACAATGATACTATAGGTACAGACAGAGAGGGCTGCTGTGTATGTGAGCAGACTGGATGACACCTGTGTGCCTTTCATTCCAGTGAATGTCATTTTTGTCCATAAAAAGATAATAAATAAGCTGTTCTGAAGCAGTTCAACAGGAGATATTTACAACAGCTGTAGGAACAACAACAAGTTACAACTTCTGACCTCTCTGTACATATGGTGGTAGCTGGGGCAAGAAAACATTCAGCAACTGGGGACAAATGAGATGTTACATTATAGTTAAGATGGTGACATTTTTGTCAAATGTTCAGGATGTTCACACTGGGCACGAGGCGTACTTAAATGTAGCTCTAACTGGGTTTGTGTACGTCTTTATATTTATATCTGCATTAAAAGCTTTTTGTGCCCATGGAAACTCATTTCTCTGGTTAAAAACACAGGAAGATGTTTTTGTCAGTTGTGAATTTGGTGAGGACAACTTGAAGGATCACAGGTGCTGATGGGCTGCATGACATGAACATTCAAAACTAGCAGAAAAACGTCTTGACTGGACAAGTCTGATGATGTGTTCTATATGATTTTCTGTCAAATAATCTAGTGAAACGACCAAATGCACTGTTTGCTCCTATTTGAGTAATATTGACTAAAAACCACAGCAGCCACGTGTTTTACAAAGTAATTTAGAGTATGTATTTTTTTAAAAGTCCCTGTTTGTAACTTGTGCTGTATGATTCACATCCTCAGTAGGAGAAAATTCAGCACTCAGACCAAATGGTGAGGCCATGTTGTTTCAGGTACTGGTGAGACCGCTGACTGTTTAAATATAGACGACTTGTCTTCCCTCCATTGTGCAAAAATGAAGCCAAATGATCGTGAACACGGCAGCTGCCATCTTGGCATTTTGCAACCAGATTCTATGCAGTGGCGACCAAGTGGTTGAGTGACAGTATCAGACCATCAATCAAACTCAGCTCATCCAAAATACAACCCTTTTAATATCTTCAAATATCAGGAAAATGACCACTTGGACACCAAAACCACAGAAGTGACCTCTGATAAAAAAGTATCTGATTTGTACTTTCAGTTTTTAGTTTGGCTCATGTCCAGTCCATTAATATGGAGGGGGTGGGATTTATAACCTATATCGCAACCAGCCACCATGGGGCGATTGAGTCGTGGTGGCTTCACTTCTGGGAGCTCTTATGGCATCTATATTTTATACAGTGGATGGGTGAGATGATGACTTTGAAAGTTTATCAGATGCCAAAGCACTGCACAGCAGCTTATAATATTACCAATAAGGAATTTCAGTGTTAGGGCAGCACGGTGGCACGGTGGCTAGCGCTGTGGCCTCACAGCAAGAAGGTTTGTGACCTTTCTGTGTGGCGTTTGCATGTTCTCTCCATGCTTATGTGGGTTCTCTCCGGGTGCTCCAGCTTCCTCCCACAATCCAAAGACATGGTGTCTTTAAATTGCCCATAGGAGTGAGTGTGTGTGGTTGTTTGTCTGTGTGTCGGCCCTGTGATAAACGGGCATCCTGTCTAGGGTGTACCTGGCCTCCCGCCTGAAGTCGGCTATGACTGGCTCCAGTGACCTCATTCGGGACTAAGCAGTATAGATAATGGATGGATGAAATTTCTTACTTATTTAATCATGACTGTGAGGCAAACAGCAGAAATACAGAGTTATCTACCAGGAACCTGTACTTTCTGATATCTGACTGGCCAACACAACACTTTACCAAATAATGTTGTCTTGTGTTGCAACACAAGTTGAGCCAGTTTCAAATTTTTAGCAGGAGACAAACTGCAGTTTTTTTTGTGTGTGTGTGTGTGTGTTCGTTTGTTTTTTTGGCTGGAGCCCACAGTCTTTCAACACTGTGATCATATTTAAGTGAATGAGGGCACTGTGCTTTTCACACTTTGTTGGTTCTTTCATGGGATTTGTGGTTTAACCCACAGATATCGGAATTCTTTATGACTTATAGACAGTTTCATTTTGTCTCAGAGTGCAGATTGTGTTATCTCAATATTATATACACTTTCCATTCATTTTTTAAAGAGACCCATTAGGACTCCAGTGGACCCTAAGAGAGACTGGTTTTGCTGGTGCAAATGGTAGAACTGGGACTGAATTAACCAAAGACAAAAAATACAGACAGATGTGATCCAGATGTTTACATTTAAAACTGAGATATGGGCTGGACACAGGCTCAGATGGCCAGCTGCAGCTTGGTGAGGTTCCTCTGGTGCATGTTGTGGTGTCGCACCAACTCGTCGCTCCGGGCAAACTTCTTCTGACAGTTGGGCCACCGGCAGTTAAACGGCTTCTCACCTGAGACAGGGGATGGACAGACATGGAAAAGGATGGCACAGTAATGACAGGACAGGAAGGATTTGAAAAGACAGAAATATTAGAATATGATGATAAGCTGAATGCAATGATTAAGTAAACTTCATATAGAATATATACATAGTTCATAATAGCGCAAGTCAAGTAATAATAAACAGATGTTGACAGTCAAACACTGTGGTAATATTACTTTACTTTTAATCTTTGCAATTATAGAGTATATGTGTAAACATCAAGTGGATGAATAAGAAATGGAAAAATAAAAGTTTACGCACTTGTTTTACCTGTATGAGTCCGGGTGTGTGTCTTAAGGTGGTCAGACCGAGAGAACTTTCTCTGACACGTCTCACATTGGAAGGGTTTAACTCCTAAACACATATACAGTATACATGCACACACACAAGTTCACACATTCAGCACACAAACCCAAGTTCATATGCGCACACACACACAGAGAGGGAGACAGAAAAACACAGTAGAGCAGAGGCTTGCAGGGAAGCCATTCTAAAGTTTAGCCAGCCTTGAGTAACTTCATCTGAGAGGAGTTTATTTCTGCGCACCACTGGGCACAAAATGCAAACTGTGCACTGCAAACAACTGCGCAGTCCATAAAATGGCTGTCATGCAAACAGCAGAGGAGAGTAAGGAGAGGAAGAGCAAAGAAAAGGGACTGAGAGGATACAATGAAAAACTCAAGGCAGAGAGGCAGACTGAGTGATGCTGATCAAACCTGTGTGTCTCCTCTGGTGTCTCTTGAGCTGGTCAGAGCGAGAAAACCTCCGGCCACAGTCTGTGAACTCACACTGATAGGGTTTCTCCCCTGGACAAAGGCAAGTGAAAAGACACGGGAAGTTGCATCAAATTAAATTTGAAGTTGTTCTATTATTACATTGTATTGTATCACAGATAATGCAGATACCCAGCTCCTTTTGACTGTTAACAGGAAAAAGCAGTATTAGCCAATCAATTACTGGTGCCAATGTCCTAAGTGTTCTATTTGCTACTTTTCTTAGTTTTCTATGACAGTAAATTGAATACAGTCTGGTTTGTAAGCAACCATGTGTTAACTAGCTCCTGAGCCATGACAAAGAAAAACATTTTGCTCTTCACAGAGTTCTGTCTGTCACACTGACTTCATCAGCTACTGCAGCTGCTTCTGTTAATCCTAACTGTATGTAGAGCAAATTTTAAATGAATTTCAATAAAAGAATTTCATAGCCAGCGTGATTAATCTAGAAAACAATCACTTTTGACTGCATTAGTAATATTTTATGATATCAGAAAACAACACTGAATATTTAATAAAACAAGCGACTAAGAGAGGAAAATGAAAAAGATAATGTATTGTACATGATATTATGTGTAAGATGATTTTTGAACAAAAGGAAAAAAATGATGTCACTCACTGATGTACAGTATGAGTGTGTGTGCATTTTTGTGGTTAAATGTCACATTTGACTGGAAATTTAAAGGATTTCTTTATCTTAAAAAAACAGGAAGTATTTTCTGGAAATAACAGATAAGCAGATTAAGGCCAATGGAAATATAAAATAAAAAGTTTATTCTCTAAAGCCCAACAGAAAACTGAGTGAAACAGGAGAAATTCTGGGAAATGAGCACCTGTGTGTTTGCGACTGTGCATCTGCAGATGAGACAGCTTGAAGTAGCGTTTGTTGCATCCTGGGTAGGCACACATGAATGGACGCTTCTCGCTGCTTTCTGACCGCATGATAGCTGGAGCAATGCTGGGCACCCGCCTAATATCCTGCACACACACACACACACACACACACACCAAACACTTTTATTTAAAGTCAAACAACTCAAGACAGAATTAACCAAAGCTCTCATTGTGCATTGGTAATTGAACCAGCAAAATGTAATTTAGAAAACATGCAATCTGTTTTGTGTGTAAATAAGTGCATGTGATCTGTCTGGCTCGTGGGGGTCATTATAATAAAATGGTCATATATTCATTAGATGGGAATTAGCATTAAAATGACCCCAGGCTGACTGTGGCCCAAAGGGAGCTGTTAGTCACGCCTTGTAGCCAGAGCCCCTTCCAGAACGCTCCATTACAGCCCCACTGCTCACTGCAGACTCTGCTGGAGAAGAACAGGAACAGGAAATAGTACACGACTGTGCAAGACAGCCCAAACATTTAGTATTTTAGTTCATAGTAAATATTGTTGTTCATATTATCTGCACCCCCTCATGCCACCTGCCAACATCAGTGTATTATACATGACAAAGAAACAAAAGTGAAATGAAATATTTCATCTATTTTCCTATGTGTTAACTCCATACACACATTTTAGTACTTTCTTCACACTTCTTATATTAGTCTCTGCCCTTCTTCACATTTCTGCCATCACTTTACTTTTTCTCTTCTCCCCCTTTCTCCTTCCACACATCCCTTTTTCACCCCCTCTTGTAGCCATCTGCTCTTCATTTCCTCAGTCTCTAGCATAATGCTCTGACAGGCTCAGAGGTCATCTCTGTTGTAATTACATAGTACTGTTAGCAACTACTGACAACTACATTACAGCTGTCACATACTGGAAGAAGGACTACTTACAGTAGTCTGGCCTTGGCTGAGAACCCTGAGCTTCAGTCTCCAAGTGTTGCTAAAGTAAGCACACCACTGGTGGTGAGCCACACTGTTGCTACACGCCCTCCTCACCCTGCAAGCCACAACACCAAGTCCAAGAGCCACTGTTCAAGTGAGTGCTGTAGGGATGTTACAAAGCCCCCAAAAACCAAAAAGGTAGGGAGTGTCTCTTCAGTGAAGTGAAGACCCAGTCCCCTCAGTCCCCTGTACCTTTTTGGTCAAAGGAATTATAAGCATATGAGCAAATGTATTTCAATATGTGCGTGTTTAACATGCACATAGATCTGATGGTGGACTAAAATGATATATATAACATCACTCAATACTTATATAGGCCTATATTTGTTTCAGTGCAAATGCCCCCCACCCCCTCCTTGTGCCCTGAAATTCAGGCTTGGGAAGTAACAGAAAACAAGGAATGAAGTAAAGTATTTAGGAAACAAAAAAGGTAACTGTATCTTCTGTTAAAGTTACAGAGAGAAAAGACACAATCAGATTACAGATACATTTAGTAAAACGGGATTACAAGCATATTACAATTTTAACACATCTCAAAAATCTCTAGTCTAAGTAAAGTAAAACCATAGCTAATCTTGGACATCTTGTGTTGCAATGTCTTTCCTCATCAAAATGTATTTCCCCTAAACATGGCCACTGAGGGAGCGTTGAGTATGAATAGCACACTTAACAAAGTGCATCTAAATTAAATGCACATAAATAACATTACTGCTATTAATCTAAACATGCATTATTTGTACATAGCAAAGAAAGCAACAAGTTAGACAAGCAATTAATAAACCTAATCATAAACTATCCGATCTAGTAAAAACTACAGTGAGTGGATAGACTTAAGATATTTTTAACCCTTGCAAATACAAAGTATTTCCTGTTTACCTTGTAAAAGGAGCAAAACTATTTTTTTCTTTGTAAACTGTAGATGTCATCATATGTGGTCACTTTCACTACTATCTGAAATTGCTTAATGAAAAGCAGGTTTTTCCAATAACAACAACAAAAAAAATAACTGTGACCAGAGGAAACATTTCTGATACTAAAAATCTTGGTTTCCCTGTTTTCTTAAGGTTCCATTGTTCTGCTGTCTTACAGAATACACTTAAGCCAAAGCCATCTTATTAATATTTCTTTTCTCATGCCTTTGTTTAAATATTTCATATCAAGGTAATCCAAAAGTAACCGAAAGTAATCAAGTTACATTACTTTATTATTGTGATTTTTTGATTAAGTTACTGAATAACTTGAATAACCTGAATAACAATGCACAGAACAATCTATGTTTTCAAAAGTTACTGATTTAGATCCTAAAGAAAATTTCATTATTGTTTCTTGAATAACTTTTAAACTAAAAATGGTATCAATCTGATTCCAAATACTAGTGGTAGGTTTTCAAGGTCAGGGAATCATATTATAAAGGTCAACGCACACTTGGTGCCTTAGTTTAATTAGTGTGATTTCTTATCTGGTTCAGTAGTATTGATCACTTTTATGGCTAAAGTAACTGACAACTAATCCAGACGGCCTGTCTGCAGTAATCAAGAGTAACATCTGACCAACAAACCTGGCTGATTGACTTCCTGAAGTAATATTACATTGTTATCTGTTACTGAGTAAATTGTTACAGTACGTGATTCTGTGTAATCATTGGATTCAGTTTTCAACAAGCTTTGTAAAATGTTTTGTTAATTAAAATCAATGAAGAATGAAACTCCATGACTGTCAGCTGTGTTTCCTTTGGCAGTGATGAGAATTAGTGTAAGCTCTATGATAAAAAAACATGGAGCAAAGCACCACTTTGCTACTCAGCCTGTTATCTCTTATCAGCTCTTAAATTATAGCCTAAAAGGCATAGAAGTGAAAGTGTGTTTATTCTTTTGTACTGCGCCAGACCTCTTGTTATATTTTTCTATGAACAGAAGAAAAAAAAGGAAAAGGTTGAATGATAAAAACATTCTCCTGCTGTGGACTAAGAGCACGTCTGGAGAATCTCTGCTGTGTGCTCTAGAGCCACTGACAGATAATAATTAAAATTGAATGATTTATTAGCGTGTTGATCCTTGCATGGAAACTGTATCTCTACTCAGTGTAACCCTGTGTGTGCATGTGTGTGTGTCTCCAACTGCTAATGGATTTGTGGAAAAATGTTCCTCTTGGCTTTTGAGCCTGCCTTTTAAAAATCTCTGTGTGTTTGCAGTTTGTGTATGTGTGTGTCTGCTTCATGTGCATGTGTAGGCATTTGTGTGTGTTTGCTAATTTTCAGCTCTGCTCCATATCAGCCTCTTCATTGCATCAGGCTCTCCACCACTCATCCTTTAAGTCTACTCATTAAAATAAATGTTAGCAATATGTTATTTTTCATCCTTTGTGTGTTACCCTGACCTTGTGTGTACTTCCCGGTCTTGACACTCAACATATACTGTAATTTTGGCATGTAAACTATGTGTGCAGACAGAAGGTCTTTGTGACCTCACAATGGCCTCTTGACAGTGAATAAAGAAATAACATGTACAGTTCTGAGTTTACCTGTATACCCCTGAAGACTCCATGTGTGTGTATGCGGTACTGCGTGCTGCAGCTGTACACCATGGGGGTGCTGGGGTCACTCTCGTAGCCTGCTGCATGACTGTCAACACAGAAAGAGAGAGGTGTGATCCTAGTGACTAATTCGGTGAGATTCTTACAGCAAAATAAACAGTCCCCTGAATGTGAGGAAATTGACACTACAACTCAACACTTTCACACAACTTTGAAGAGCTTTTCTCAAAACATATTGACTCAAATATCTACTGAACTTGTCGCAAATTACCGTCAGGTGCACAAAATATTGTCGCATAGCAATGTATTTACCAACACTGGGGAAATTAGCACAGCCACAGCTTGGTTAATTTGATTACACCTCCACTTCAGATCTGGTACCTGCTGTGTGAGGGACAGTAGAAGTGACAGTAGAACTTTAATATTTCATTTCATGAAACGTAGCCTCCTGTCAGTCAAATCATCTTTTATTTCATTCAGTAACTGAAGCGCAGTTTGACCTGAAAGCCTATAAAAGTCCCTGACGGTCTCCTCTGGTGAGCGATGTGATTTACAGACACACTCCCCTTCCTCAGACATGTTCTTAACTCTGACGAGATCTCAGATGATTAACTTTGCCACTCCGAGAGTGTGGTGCCACAACAGAGAGCAGTGGCACAAATTTTACACCAGCTTTCTCCTTAAATTTCCCTCTATTGCAGCCATAGTAAATCAGGTGCTGAGACTATTTGTATAAATCTCCTCCCTTTTTGTGTACTTGAACAGGAACAGCTTAAAATACATATTGCATGAAATCAAATGCACAAATTCCTGGGGTTCCATATTTTTTCTTTTTCTCCAGTGCAATCCCCGCCTTACTGAATATGAACACACACAATTTCACTGCTTAGCACAAAAAATTACCTGCAAAACCTTAGTAGATATGCCTCCAAGAGTCGAAAACTACTCAATAAAAAAACAGCTCCAAAATATCAATATTGGTGTCAGTTTAAAAATCAACTTCTTCCTGACTGCTGCTACAACCAGTGAACATGAGGCAGAGATATCAGAGAACAAGAATTCAGTGTAATAAATCCGTAAGTCCTTAGATGTAAGCTGTGATGGTGTATGCCGGATTTACTTTGACTTTTGTCAGAACACCATATAGCCAGCTTAATCCCATGGTGGTGTGTGTACATGTTGCTTTATGAAGCCACATACAGTAGCAGCATGGATGATTGCAGACATCATTGCCCCATTGTGGCATGGTTCTCGGGATACCAGTGTCTGATGGTTTGCCACGAAACTGGGTTTGGAAACAAAAAAAACTTTTTGATAGGTGGTGATTTACACAAATGATTTCACCCCTAGTGACTACAGAAACATTTACACTATAATGTATGACAGAATCCTCTGCACTTTGCGTGTAAGAACTGAACAAACCCTTCTCTTTTTGACACAGCTGCCAGTGTTGCCTCCCATATCTTTTTGTGATAACACAGAGAAACAGAATGCTCTTGTCTGTGAAATGTGTTATATTTCAGTCTGACTGACCAAATGAGGAGGATGGGAGTTTGCATCCTGTGCTGCTGCAGTGGGAATGTACAGTGTATGGGTGCTGTGTGGTCATAAGGTGCTCTTTGTTGGCCTCTCTTTCCCCAAGTACAGGAGTAGAGTCACTGTACTTTGTGCTGCTTTACTGAAGTTCATTCATTCATCTTTTTTAGTGATTTATTGTAGTCCCTTAATGCAAAAGAGACTAGCAGAACTACAATATATAGAACTAATTGTAAATAATACAGAGAGGAAATGTAGAAAAAATATTTAAAACATAAATTGTATAAAATGTGTCTACAACTGTTCAACAGTGAACACAGACTATGATGTATGTACCTAATGCCCAAGTGTAAAATCAGAGCATAAGAGCTCACTCAAACCAAGAAATCATTTGACATTTTGGGAAATGTACTTTTTCACTTTCTTACCCAGAGTGAGATGATACCGCTCCCATATCTGTCTATTTAATAAAACACTGCAGGTAAAGGCCAATTAGCTTAGCTTAGCACAAACACTGGAAATAGAAAGAAGGGGCAGTGTTGCTATGTCCAAAGGTAATAACATCCTCATGTTCTTACTGAACATGAGGATGTTATTACCTTTGGACAAGCTACAACTTGTCATTTTTGTACTTCAGATTGTGTATAGATTAGACAAACACAATACCATATTATTAGTGAGTTTTGGAGGTGCTGCTAGTCAGATTTAGTCCCATAGTTAGAAGAGTTGTTTCCTGCTCTCAGACTCTGGGCTACATTAAGCTGGCCAGCTGCTAACAATAATGTTAGTGTCATATTAAAGAGTATATCCAGTATGTATGTCTACTGTTTAGTATTTCTTTAATGGCTGTGGCTCAGGAGGTATAGCAGGTTGTGTCCTAACTGGAGGATTAGCGGTTTGATTCCTGGCTTATCCAGTCGAAGTGTTCTTGAGCAAGACACTGAACCCCCAGTTGCTCCCAGTGATAACACTGGTGTGTGAATGTGTGAGCATTTGGGAGTGCGAATGGATCAATGGCCAAGTAGTGTGAAAGCGCTTTGAGTGCGCTGTAAAGCATAGAAAAGTGCTATACAAGTATAAGACCATTTACCATTTAATGCACACTTTCCATGTGTGTCCAGGAAAGTGAACTAAACACAGTTTGTCACACTGTAACTTTAAAAATAGGCATGACATCAAAAAACAAGAACAAGTATTTTTGTTTTTTTAAGATACGATCAAACAACATTACTAGTAATAATATACGACAAATGAAATATTTATGATATTGAGATATAGGTGAGTAGCAAAAAATAAAATTTATAAAACTACAAATGAATTATATACAGTATTTTCATGCTTTCTGGTCCATAGTCACCTCTGCGGCAGGTGACATCAGGTTCAGTGTTAAGCGTTAACACTGGGAACAGGCCTATCTGCTCTTCTGCTCTAACTCAACTCCCCTATACTTCCTCTTCCTCATCTCCTGCTCCTCACTCCGTTCTCCTTTATCTATACTGACTCCCACCTCCATTGCTTCTTCCTCATCCTAACTACTCCCTCACACCTCTCCTCCCTTCAGCTGGCCCCCATTGACAGAGAAAGTACAGACAAACTGAGCCACAGAGAGAGAAATAGCACCATAGTCAGAGCAGAGCAAGGCAACTTAAACACTATGATTTACTCTGATCAACCAGAAGATATTAGGAAGACACAGAGAACTTTAAAAATCACATTGCCTGTTCTGTCAGTCCTTTAAAATCAATCACAAAGCCCAAAAGCCACAAATGCAGGCACTTGTATACAATCACACAAATACTGCACACAAGCACACACCACTTCTTCACAATGAAGCAGCAGCCCCCAAAAACACAGTCAGTCTTTTTCACTACCACTCCTTTATGCACGTCTCTATCACACATACATACACACACCTGTTGGCTGTAATAAATGCCTGCTGGCTGGGAGCAAAAGGCTATTTGTGATCCAACACAGACGCTGACCAGTGTACAGCTATGCAGGTCACAGTGACCCATAGTACAGTATATATAGTACTACTAAATTCTTTTAACTCTGTCTGAGCAGTGGACACTGATTATTGTGAACTGGTGTCTACTGTTTAGTATTTCTGTTCTATTTTATAATGAAAAGGAGATGGACAGAAGAAACAGAATGTCATGTGACCTCATTTGAGAACAGAACTTTTAGGAACAGGGTAAAAAGAGTTTCTTCAATTAATTGATTTGATTTGAATTATTCTTTTAAGCATGTA